GCTCACAATTGAATGGTTCGAAATTTGGAGATTCATGAGTTATTGACAAAAAGGGGAACCAGTTTAAATTGTTCAAGTCTATGATACCGGGTGTGCTGTATTTTTCTGAGTAGTAGGTGTTTGCAAATCCTAGGTCAAAGGTTGGTTTCAATTTCTCCTGCAGTAATGATCCCTTGACAGCTTGTTTAGAAAATTTCCAACGGTTTTTGTGACATATTTTTTCTTGGTGTGTGGCAGTTTTGAGAAGATTATGTTAATCTCCAGATTAAGAAAAAGAGTGGATTAAGCCTTAATCCCGATGTCCACCTTTCAAAAGTTCCCAGCTCAGGAAAAACCGGAATCCAGGAACCAGTCAGTCTCCTACCTCAAACACGAGAACATGTACTCCTTGATATTAATATATGTTTATTTAAAATTTTCAAAGTTGACAATCATATCCCTCATTTTAGGAATTAAATGATACACATTCATATCTTTTTTTGATATTTTTCATTACATACAGAGACCAATCTCTTATCCTTTCAAACAGAGTAATTAAGACAAGTACTTAAAAATTTTCAAATTTGAAACTCATATTCCTCTTTTTAGGAAATGAATGATACACACCCCTTCGTAAACGAGCTATACTAAGTCGAACTTCGACTTACCTTGCCTCACACTTCACGCACAAGCTCACACTCACACAATACTTTAAAGCCTAATAGCTCAATTATTATAGATTTAAGGCTAAAACTTATTCAGGATAGTAATGTAAACATTCCTAATTTACTCCTGCAAAATTTATTAAAATCCGCGAATCTTTGATTTACATATACAAGGGTGTTATTGACAGCACGATTTTATAGTGCTATGGAAACGCCTCAACACGGAATCGGACTCAAAAAAAACCGGAAACCTCCCCAAAACGATTTTTTTTGAGGCGTTTCTTGTTTTTTCAAAAATTATCGGAAATCCCTCAAATCCAATTTTTAGAGGAATTTCCCGTTTTTTTTATCCGTTTCCCCGATTTTAGGTCGGATTCCGGTTTATATGGGTCTTATATTTTTGAGGGATTTCCCAAGATTTTCGATCCGTTTCCTCATTTTTTGGGTCTGTTTCCGGTTTTCAGAAAAAAGTTTTAAATTCTCAGTTTGTTGATCGGTTTCCTCTTTTTTTTGGGTCCATTTCCTCTTTTTTTGGGTCCGTTTCCGGTTTTGAAAAAAGTTTTTAATTCTCAGTTTGTTGATAGGTTTCCTTTTTTGGGTCTGTTTCCTCATTTTTTGGGTAAGTTTCCGGTTTTCAAAAAAAGTTTTAAAATCTCAGTTTGTTGATAGGTTTCCCCTTTTTTATGTCTGTTTCCGCGGTTTTCAAAAAAAAATTTAAAATCTCAGTTTGTTTCGATTAATGTTCTTTAGTATCTGGTTTAAAATAAAATATTATGGTTTTGGCTTTAAGTGGAGTTTTCATCTCCTTCTGGGTCAAAATTGTTCCTCAAAATCTGTTCGGAACATTTCCTGCATTAAAGGATGAGATTTCAGACACGATTGTACAAAATTTATACTGTCAATTTCTAAGATAACTTGTTTTTATCATCAACTAAGCAATTAGAAGAAGTTACCCGGCAGTGGCGTAAATAAGGGGGTTATTGTGGTTATTTACCCCCCCCCCCCTAGAATCCTGGGGGTAGTTACCCCCCTTGAATCCTGGGGGTAAACACCCCCCCAGAATTTGTCTTAAAAAAAGGTTGATTTTAAAATTGAATATCTTTAAAATTAAAATAGTCAATGTCATTACAATTAGATGTTTTTCTAATATAAAAAAGCGTGGGCAATGAAGAATATATTTTTACTTCTAAATAATGTCACATTCTTCATTGACGACAAGAATATTTTAGAAATTAGAAATTAGCAAAGGCTATTGTAAACATTTAATGTAAAAAAGTTCCAAACTGTATTCAAACTTGGAATTATTTTGGTAAAATATAGTAAGTTTGAAATATCAAAGGTTTACACCACTCGGTGCAAAGATTTAGGGATTAGAATAATTGGGTTTGTGGCAAAATCTAGAGAACATTCTGAGACTGAGCGTGGCAAACTTCTAACTGATAATCATATTTGATAACTGTTTTTTGATATAACTTCTATAAAATCGAAAATGAAACAAGATTATAAATGTTGGTTAGAATGATCAATCATAAATTCAATAACTTCAGGAGAAAACGTAAAATTATCTGTCCTTTTTCAATGTAGATGATTAAAATTATATATGTATTTTGATGTGTTTTTTTTTCAGAATATATAAATGTTTATTTCTTGTAATTATATGTAAGATCTACGGATCTGTTAATTCTTAATGTTCAGGTTGAATCTGAAAAACCGAACCTAAAGAAGCACATGAAGACCTGCTCAACATTCTCTCTCTGTTCCAAGCTTCTATGTTCTCCATAAACTATAAACATTTATCTCCTGAATATAAACTTAGAATTTTATTTGAGATTAACTGAAGTTTTATACTAAATGTACATGGTCTATTTATAATCCTGAGCCTATAAGTTTATATCCTTAAGCCTAAAAGCTTTTTTATACTGCTGATATTTAATTTGGAAACTCTGATTTTAAAATATATTTAATGGTCCATGTATTTCAGACCATAATGGACTAGTTAAACGTCCATATATCTTGGTAGTACTCCAGGTTGTGCAATACTAGGTTTATAAAACATCATATTTAAATGTAAATGTAACACTGGCCAAAACCTTTTGAATCTAAGCTCATTAAAACTTATGGATGTTATATAAAGTGAATCCAGATCATACGTGTATTTCAACGCCTGTTTTGAACTATGAACTAATAAACTAACAGGTGAAAACACATTTCTAGAAAATTTAGAACTTTTAAAGTTTATGCGAAACTAACTACTCCCTTATCTCTTAGACCAAGTCCTCCTTTGATGTGTCCTCGCCTTGCTCCTGGACGAGGATGATAGCTTCAACACGAATGAGAGTCTGTTTATATCTTCAACATGAATGAGAACCTGCCCTCGGAGTACCTCCCTGCTGAGCAACAATATCTCTACCTCCTCTCGGAGAAGTCCCGTCGGAAGTAACTGTGCTTCTCTAAACCGGGACTGCTGCTCTCGAGCAGACAAAGGTGAAGATTGAATATGAACTGCTCTCAAGATGAGATCTAATGTAAACCTAATCTTATTTAGATCCCATCTACATCTCTACTTCCTCTCGGAGAAGTATCCTCGCCTCTTCTCGGAGAAGTATCCTCGCCTTCTCTCGGAGAAACTCCTCACCTCCTCTCGGAGAAGTCCCGTCAGAAGCATTTGTGTTTCTCTAAACCGGGACTGCTGCTTTCGAGCAGATAAAGGTGAAAAACTATTATGGAGCTATCCTCAAGAGTTAGATCAATGTTAACCTAATCTTATTTAGATCCCATCACTATCCGTACCTCCTCTCGGAGAAGCATCCGTTCCTCCTCTCGGAGAAGTCCCGTCGGAAGCATCTGTGTTTCTCTAAACTGGGACTGCTGCTTTCGAGCAGATAAAGGTATACAATCAAGTTTCGTGTGATCTCTGTGAACAATTAAAGACAAAAGTGTGACTATCTCCTCTAACACATGATAAGCCTTTATATAAACTCTTCTTATTATTTCTAGTTATGTGTAAGAGATAGCTGGTAACAATCATCCAACTCTAGAGCTATTAAATTCTCCGGCCTAATCAACTTTGTAAGTGTTACTTTAGTTTATATGTATTTGTCACAACTTATTCACATTTAGCACATTGTAAGTGTTAATTCAATTCAAAGTCTTTGTTGCAACTTAATCACACTTAGCACACCTGGAGCAAATTTTAATGTAAACTTGGCTTATTTTATTCATTTAAATAACTATAATACTAATTTATTATTTATTTTAACCCATGACTGATGTATTGTTTTTCAGTTCACGGGTCCTAGCTCTGTATCGCTGTACCAGAAATAAAGAATATAAGAGACTCATGTGTATTAAAGAGGTGCGCAATGGAGAATTGATGTTGCCCCATCATGTTAATAGCTGAACAATTCCTGTGGATCTAGGTATTGTTTCTAGGGAAAGTGCTAAAATTCCCAAAACGGGCACATTATATCTGTACTTAAACAAGGTACTTAAAAAATTTTCTTTCGCGCTCCGTGCACACATGAAAAGAATTGAATGACTCATCAACGTTAATTTTACAGTTCTTGAAAGTATAAATTTTTAAAAAACACCATAAAAAACAATTTGAATTAAACACAGCCAAATCTGCATGCAACAACTGATAATTTCGGATTCCCTTTTTTTCGACGTCTAATCCTTAAAAAAGCACTTTTATGAAAAAATTTTCTAAAAGGGGGGCAAGCCCCCCCACACCCACCCCAGACCATTACAAAATAATAATTTGCCCCCCCCCCCTAGCAAATCCTAGGGTTTCCACATTTTAGGGTTTCTTGTCTTAACAGTCTCATACTTTGAGGGGGAAATATTTACAAACAATTAATGTGGATTTAACTGAAATATTCTACCATTCAATTAGTTTCAGCATGTCACACAAAGCTAAGAGGAGGTATATTTTACATCAAATCAGTTATGCGACAGGATGCTTAGTTGTGATTTTTGGGGGAGGGGGAGTACCAAGGTAGAGAAGATAGAGACAGAGAGCTTTGTGTGTACTTGAGATAGTATCAGGAGAGACTGGAATTTATTACATTTATATTGTATAAACTTTAAATCTTCATAATAAATATTTGATTTGATTTGATGTATCAATCTATAATATTTTGTTAGATAAATAAATGGATTATTAAGACAATTTGCGCTTTTAACCCCCCGCCCCTGTCTAAAATATGAAACCACCTATGTTAGTTCTCGACATAGATATATTAATGTGTAATATTGCATTCAATCTTAAACTTTTTATTCCAAAAGAATTATACTATTTAAATATGCATAAATGATTTGGTTGGCTTTTCTTTCCTTAGTTTTTATTTGTTTTCTTGACAGAATGTATTTTTATGGTTTTTAACTATTGCACATATTTTATATTTTCTTCACTGATTTTTTGTGATTTTACGTGTTTTTATTAGAAAGAAACTTTCATTAGGAAAGCAGAAATGGGGAAACTGAGAATTTAATTATTAAAAGACTAACCTCAAAAAAAAAGAGGAAACATCAATAAACTGAGAATTTACAACTTTTTCTGAAAACTGGCAACAGGCCCAAAAATGGGGGAACGGATTGAAAAAATGGGGAAACCGATCAACGTAAAATTATCTGTCCTTTTTCAATGTAGATGATTAAAATTATATAAGAATTTTGATCGAAAAAATGGGGAAACAGATCAACAAACTGAGATTTTGAAACTTTTTTTGAAAACCGGAAACGGACCCAAAAAATGAGGAAATGGACCCAAAAAAAGAGGAAACCGATCAACAAACTGTGAGTTTAAAACTTTTTTCTTGAAAACCGGAAACTTACCCAAAAAATGAGGAAACAGACCCAAAACAAGAGGAAATCGATCAACAAACTGAGAATTTGAAACTTTTTTTTGAAAACCGGAAACGGGCCCAAAAAATGAGGAAACGCACCCAAAAAAAGAGGAAACCAATCAACAAACTGAGAAAATAAAACGTTTACTGAAAACCGGAAACGGACCCAAAAAATGAGGAATCGGACCCAAAAAATGAGGAATCGGACCCAAAAAAAGAGGAAACCAATCAACAAACTGAGAAAATAAAAATTTTACTGAAAACCGGAAACGGACCCAAAAAATGAGGAAATGGACCCAAAAAAAGAGGAAACAGATCAACAAACTGTGAGTTTAAAACTTTTTTCTTGAAAACCGGAAACTTACCCAAAAAATGAGGAAACAGACCCAAAACAAGAGGAAATCGATCAACCCTGTAAAAATTGTTCAGAGGTGCACTTTTTCTTTTGAATAGATATATATAAAACTAAGAAAAATCCAAATTATTTTTTATTTTTGACCATTTTTTCCGGTGCCGTCGGAAATAACGTGATTTTTTGGCCATTTTTGAACTTTATTGATTTTATTTCTTAAAACTTTTATTAAATCCAAAGTTTTTGACTGAGAATAATTTGTTATATTATTTTGGAAATCCCAGATAATGGTCTAAAAGATAAAACCAACTTATACTGAATATTTTGAAAATCATAGTTTTATAAGCAGTTTTAGCCCCAAAATCATCGATTTTATTGATGCGCACTTGCAGCTCACTAACATACCCTGAGAACTGAACTAAAAAAAATATATTTTATTTTCCTTTTCTATATTTAATACTTATTCTAAAATGTCATTACTTTTTGAAATACCTTCAAAAATGGCCGATTAATGAATAGTTCAAAAAACTCCGTTTTTTGAGTTTTTGAAAATTGTAACTCTCTTATAATTTAATGACGTGTTTGGACATTTTGAACTTGTTCTTTTAAATTGTTCATAAAATACATAGTTGTTGACTTGGAATGTTGTTTAATATCATTTTGGAAACCCCGGATACTACTTCATAAGACTTGATATTAAATTTTTTTTTTAAATTGTTGAAAACTATTTTATTTTCCTGTAAGTTTAGTCGAAAAATAATCTGGTTTTTTACTATACACTAACTTGTTAAAACACTCGCTGAAAAATATTAAAACATATTTTTTAGATTTTCACTTTCTATTTGATATATTCTATGCTTAATGGTTTAGACAACTTAAGACATCTATAAATATTTTGAAGTGATATGTTATTGAAGAAAAGTGATTTTCCTCCATTTCAATGACATGTATTGAAATCCTTGAAGAATCGTCAATTTTTAACTTATGCAGGTCAAGGTTGGGCACAATTTAATATCAAATTATTTTGCATTTTTGCTTTCAGCCTATACCCCCTTTTATCTTTCCTTTACAGTCCCTGTAAGATTAAGGTTGGACACAATTAAAAGAGCTTAAATATCAAGCTATAAGTTAAACATGATAAATGTAACAAAAAATTATATTACATTTTATTTATCTCAGCATTGCACGGTTTTCATGATTGTCATTCAAAAATATTTAATTTTTGAAAATATTTAATTTTTGAAAGTATTTAATTTTTGAAAGTATTTCTGTGCACAAAAATCAAAATGGACCCTCTGGAACACAATAAAACAGACAAAATTTGGATTTGAAACTGGTGTTTCATCTCTATGATGGACCATACGTATCAGACAATGAGGAGGATTTGTTGTTGCTGCATATATTCTTAACAGTCTGGAGAACTGGTTTACCCATCTGGAATTAGAATGTGGGCCAGGTTTATTCTTTTCTAAGTCAGTAGAAATATTTCCAGAGCTAAAAACTTTTAAATGGGATATCCTTAACCCCTATCAGTTATTAGTTAATTAATCTGGAGATTAATAACAAGAGGAGAACAAGCATTATTTAATCTCGAGATAAAGAGTGGATCTAGCATTAATCCCGATATCCAGAAATCAAAAGTTCCCAGCTCAGATATAATCCCATTTGCATATGTGATAAAGATATCTCTGGTACTGTACAGAGATTCAGTATGAAGTCATCAGGTACATTGGGGAACTGTTCGTTTGGCACAGGGGAAAGGAACAATTTTCATAGATTCAATAGACATAACTGTTCTCCAATCAGTCCTTTTCTTGAGAATGGCCCAGATTTTTCCCCATATTAAGCTGCTCAGGAGGTTTCTTGTTGCAAAATCACAGAAATGTAGTAAACGACAGTTTCAAAACCAAATTTTGTCAGCTTTATTGTGTTTCAGAGGATCTCTTTTGATTGTTGTGAACACAAATATTTTCAAAAATGATATATTTTTCCATAACAATTGAGAAAAACGTGCAATGCTATGAGATGAAAAAAATGCAAAATAATTTGTTGTTTCATTTATCATGTTTAACTTATAGCTTGATATTAAAATGTGTCCAACCTTGACCTCCAGAAGTTAAAAATTGACTATTCTTCAGGGATTTCAATATGTGTCATTGAAGTGGAGGAAAATCACTTTTCTTCAATAACATATCACTTCAAAATGTTTATGGATTTCTTAAGTTGTCTAAACCATTAAGCATAGAATATATCAAATAGAAAGTGAAAATCTAAAAAAATATTTTAATATTTTTCAGCGAGTGTTTTAACAAGTTAGTGTATAGTAAAAAACCAGATTATTTTACGACTAAACTAACATGAAAATAAAATAGTTTTCAACAATTTCAAAAAAAAATTTAATATCAAGTCTTATGAAGTAGTATCCGGGGTTTCCAAAATGATATTAAACAACATTCCAAGTCAACAACTATGTATTTTATGAACATTTCAAAAGAACAAGTTCAAAATGTCCAAACACGTCATTAAATTATAAGAGAGTTACAATTTTCAAAAAACTCAAAAAAACCGAGTTTTTTGAACTATTCATTAATCGGCCATTTTTGAAGGTATTTCAAAAAGTAATGACATTTTAGAATAAGTATAAAATATAGAAAATAAAAATAAAAATTATTTTTTTTTGTTCAGTTCTCAGGGTATGTTAGTGAGCTGCAAGTACGCATCAATAAAATCGATGATTTTGGGGCTAAAACTGCTTATAAAACTATGATTTTCAAAATATTCAGTATAAGTTGGTTTTATCTTTTAGACCATTATCTGGGATTTCCAAAATGATATAAAACATTATTCTCAGTCAAAAACTTTGGATTTTATAAAAGTTTTAAGAATATCAATATTTTTTTTTAAAGGTGTTTTTTAAGGGGGGGCACAATGTTGCCAAGGGGGGGGACCTAAAAAAATTGTGTGCCCCCCCCTAAGCAACAGCCCTCGTACGCCCCTGAATGATTTAACATTCTTTTTAATACACACTCAAAAAGTAGAAGTCTTTTTTGACCATGGACTCTATTAAAGCAGAAATATGAAAAAACTTACTTTTATCTGTCAGGGTATATTTCACAATGGTGGAGAATAGAGTGGCAATACATAGTTCATACATGGTATTGTTTATTAAGTCAAGGTAAATGTCAAGAATTCATGACTTCAAAATATGAATCGTTTAAATTTAAGGTTAAGATTACAACTTTACAAGCAACAAATATAGAGAGAAAGAAGGATTTATGATTGTAAAGAGTTATATGCATTATGCATAGATATTTTTGTCACAGATTGAACTAAAGAGAACTTGGAGAGAACCTAGAGAACCTATAAAGAACCTACAGAGAACCTTAAGACAACCTGAGAAAACATTGGAGTAAACATGAAGAGAAACTGAAGAGAACCTGGAGAGAGCTTGTATACTTTTAAAGAAGCGCGTACAGGACAAATTATTCTTCGACATCATTATATATATAAGCTTACGAACTCACCAGACTTTCTTCAGAGAAATTGAGTTTTTGCCACTAACTCTGATTTTCTTATCCCTAAAACTTTGCAACCCAATGTCGCAGACCTTAAATATTTCAAACTATGAATTCTATTTGATCAAATAATCTAAGTTTAAAATATAAAAAGTTTACTCCAATGGATTGCAAAGAAATAGGAATTAGAAAGTCAAGTTTGTGCCAAAAACATATAGTTAGTTCCCTATTGAAAAGTTTGGAGTTCTCTAAAAAAGGTTTTGGAAAAATTATTGATCTTACCTTTTTCTAAAACTTTGAATTTTTTTATGGGTGGGGGGAATGTGACTTTGACTCCTTATTTCTTTAACTTGAATTCAGTCGAGTTTTGCTTCAAACCCGACATGCTACATATATGTAAATATGTATATGTATATATATATATACTATGTAATTTTTTCACTATAAACCGCGTATGCTGACAAGAAGAAAAGTGAAATACCAAAAATGTTTTGTGCTTATGCTTGTTTTGTCTGAATTGGATCGGAAGTGATAGTTTTCTATAAGAGTACCGTTTTATAACCTAAGTGTTTCCAATCATCTTTTCTAATTCTTTTCTAAATCTCATCATACAAGAAACATGCTTAAAACGATGAACACAATGTTTTATAAATCAAAAATGTGGGCTTGAAAAAATTACCAAGACGGATAATTTTGCTTATTTGATGCAACCAAAATGATCCTAAATTCATTAAGAGTAGACCACATTTTAGAAAGCCCAATGTCTTACATTAACATTTTTATGCAATTAAATAGTGACTTCTTATTAATTCTTGGAAATTTTGTCTTTTTTAAATAGTTTACTAAATTACTTATCTAAGAAAAAAAAACAAGTTTACAGTTGAACGGATCCAAGCCTGTACGTAAAACTTCCCAAAAGTTCTGTAAAGTACGTTGTCTCTCAATGCTCATTTTTTGTTGGTAACCCTGTATACACGTAACCCTGTATACACGTATTTTCATTATGAGCAGCAGTCTTTTAATGGTAAAAATAAGTACTCTCTTTATTTTGCTCTAAGTTGTTCTGTTTGTTTGACGATTAATTTGAGATGTTATATATTACTCAGCTAAATATTTATATAATTAATCATTTTTGGCTTTTTAAAAGAATTGTTATCAATATCATGTTTACTTTCAATCAAAAATCCAGGTAAATTTGTTCTCCGGCAAATCCTTTTTTCCTTTTTCTGTATTTTTGTGGATATTTCGCATTTTTTATCAAATCAAATAGTCAAACACATACATATATATGATTAATGATTGGGATTGTTTGAGGCCTTTTTAAAAGCATTTAACGTTTTTTTTCGGTTTTAAAGGTGCTCTAAAAGAATTCAAAATGTTCGACTCATAACAAAGTCCTATTTTTAGAATGTACATTTTGCCAAAATTTTATCAATTCAGAGATGTTGACTAAGAAGATATTTCAAACATTTTTCCAAATCGGGTTTACCAATCATACAGGGTGTCCCAATAAACATGGGAATTCAGTGACGAATTCAATATCGTCTTTTTAGATAATTCTTTGATTTAGTATAGTGATACCTACTGAGAAAGCCGTAATCTGTAAGAGTTTCGTCTGCTATGTTTACATTTTGTTTGTTTATGTTTTGACTGAATACCGCTGTACGTAGTAAAACAAGAAAATTGCAGTATACATTGTAGACACATCTTTACAGTCTTTTACCCTTTTCATAAAATAAACTCTAGCAGACATAATAATATTATGGCTTTTGAAATTATGTATTACAATGCTAATTCATAACAAAGACGATATCGAATTCGTCACTGAATGCCCATGTTTTTTGGGACACCCTGTATTAAAAAATCTTTGGTTGAGTAAAATTTGGCATAATGTAATGAAAGCAAAATATATCAAGTCTTAAACTGGCCTCAAAATGATGCCCATCCCTGACGATTAAAAATTTAAAATTAAGAATCTTAAGGTTCCTATACATCTTAATATATAATAAAATAATAATATATTTAGCTTGTCTTGATGTTAACTATATCCAATAAACACCAAAACGACCCGATCGAGACCAATTTTTTGTGGCAACTAACATTAACAAAGAAAAGATTTATTGAAAAATTTTGCACGGAAAAGAATGTCAACACTTGATATTTTTTTAAAAGCACCAATTCAAACAGGAAAAAATTAGTTTTACAATTACGAGGAAAAAATAGTTACATAAAAAGCAGCATTTAAACGCTAAATATCTTCATAGAAAAGGGGCAAAATGCCTAAAAAGCCTAATATCTGTATCTATATACATATATATATATATAAACTAGCTTTGGCCAGTTTACGCATAGTAACTCCCGCCGTTTATCCGCACTTACTGATTTTACAGGGAAACTAAATTTTATAAATAAAGGTCGAACCACTAAACTCAGAATCTCAAAACCAAACTAAGAACGTTCCCGTGGTTCTCTTGAGTTTCCCAATCAAAACTTGAGGCAAATCGGTCCAGAGGTTCCTGCGTTATGATCAGACAAACAAACATACAGGCTAATGTAGATTACAACTTTATATATATATACTAGCTTGGGCACCCAGTGCTGCACAGGTAATTAAAAGCTTATACCGCCATTTACCCGCATTTGAACGATTTTAACGGGAAACCAACGATAATATATATATAGATATGCAGGCAGGTAGAAACCTCCTTCCTAAATTGCCTGTAGCAGACAACTAATTTTTGAACCTCTGAAAAAATGTGCACAAAGAGACATCTATAGCAAATTGATTACTTTCTATATGCCTTTCTCCCCTTTCTGCTATCTGTAGGAAATACGTACGCGTATTGCATCCTGTATAGTTCAAGTGTTGCTATCTGGACCTGTTTGACCAATAAAATTAAATTTCAAGGTAACACAAACATACAGTACGCGTTTTGTTTATGTTATGATCAGATCAGTTGTAATTTGTCCTAGACTCGATGTACTTTTATAGTCATAATTTTTATTTAAATTGCGTTAATTTACGTATGCCATTCAGTACAACTTGCACATTTAAACTCTGTCTAGTCAAATTCCTACCTCAGTTTTATTTGCATTGATTAATTTGTTTCATTAAGTACAATATGCAGTATACATTGTTTATACTATAGTACGCATTTAGTGTTATCACGCATAAACAAAGTGATAAATTAGCAACAATCCAGAGGATAAAATGCCATGCGTACGACAGAGATGGTGCTTTGTGCTCATTATCTCAAGACCTCTAAATTTATACCTGTCTGCATATCTATATATATATTATCGTTGCGGGAAACTAAGTTGCGGAAACTTAGACCCACTCAACTTAGAATCTTAAAACCAAGCTAAGAACATTTCCTTGGGTCTCCCAAGTTCCCCAATCAAAATGTGAGGCAAATCGGTCCAGGGGTTCCTGAGTTATGTTCGGACAAACAAACAGAGATTATAACTTTATGTACATAGATACAAGCTTTGGAACCCGGTGTTGACTGTTGTCTAGGGTACTCAAAGTTACTCAAGCCGTTTAACCTTCCACTTGGTTGATTTTACTGCGGGAAACTAAAAAATTAAATAGGTCGTCTTTTATCGGGAAAAATCATTATTTACGACCAAGTGCAGGTAAACGGGGGAACTATGAGTAACTATGAGTACCCTGGGAAACGCTAGTATAACATTTTTGATTTTTATTTAGAAAGAAATGAAGTTTTTGCCAAAAAATTGTATTTCTAATCCCTTGCATCTTAGAACTATAAATATTTCCAGCTATGGGACGAGATCAGAATTTTACTCATTATTTTTATCATTTGGTTTAATAAGAATTGCCCCTAACTCAAAAGCTCTAATCCTTCCTTATATCTTTGCAGCCTGATGGTGAAACCTTTCATATTTTAAATTTAGATTACTTGATATAACAGAATTCATAGTTTATAATAGCTATACACGGTAAATATACATCAGCAACATTTTTTAAAATTTGTTTCTTATTTAATTTTTTTAAAATATAATATTCAAAAATTATGTTTTTTGAAAACTAAAAATATATTTTCCTTTTATAAAGTTTTTTATATAAGATATGTTTTTTCAACAAATGAAAGTTGAAAAATGTAAAACATATTTCTTCACTGTTAATAAAAAATTCAATTATTTTGACATTGATTAGTAATTTTTTTGGTGTGGAAACAGTTCGCCCAATAACGTTTCACCCAATTTTAGGTAAAAAAACGTTTCACCCAATTCACGTTTCACCCAATACTACGTTTCACCCAAATTACGTTTCACGTCCGTGGGTTCCCTCCCTCTTCTGGCATACAATTCTGCACCGCAACTTTTCCCTCATTCAATGACCTTGCATCTTAATATCATGTTTTAAGGGAAGGGTCGTACTAAAATTCCTCCAATATCTACAACTAAATAGTTTTTGTTTCGGAAGTAAAACACATAATGTAATATTAATATTTTAATTTTTTGAGAAGTAAAAAATACATACTGGCATTTATGATATTTTTCTCAGAAGTAAAAAAAATACATAATATTTATGATATCACAATCAAGTTTCAAACTAAAGTTAGATACGTAAAAAATAAAAAAACAGGATTCACAAAAATAAAATTATTTTCTTCTTGTTATAACATATAAAAAACGTTGGCCAAATTAGTTGAGAAAAATGATTTGGCGACGTAATTGAAAATAAGTTTTCCGATAAATTGGAATATAATATATCTGAGCATATTTCTTAAAAAAATTTACAAAAAAAGGCGATTATTTGACAATTAACGACTATTCCACATTAAACAAAGACTTAAGATCATCAAGGGTAAGTTTATTAGCTCCCCGCTTCTTAGCTCCGCTGAGCATATCCTCGGCCAGCTTGAGCTTGTTCTCCTGAAGCTTGAGGATACGAACCTCCACGGTGTCCTTTACCATGAACTTGTGGATCTTCACCTCGCGCTTCTGCCCAACCCTGAACACATGATTGATTACAGGGACTGAAACCGTAATTTCAAGCAACTCTTCGTGCAAAGATGGCAATGCATGATTCGGATTCTAAACGGTATCCTTAAAAGCTTTGTCTGATCAAGTATTAAATATGTGTCACTGGAGGGCCGCTTGAAAATAAATTGCATGGGATACTTGGGGGGGGATTATAGTCAATTAATTTGTTAAACGCATTTGGATGCCAAAATAAAAGCTTTTAAAAAATGTAAACTAAAACATAGGATCATAAATAGGGTAACAAGAAGTCCACTTGAAAAAGTTGATGAAGACTTAAACCTGTAAATCCTGTCACAGGCCTGGCTCTCCAACTGTGGGTTCCAGTGAGGATCCAGGAGGAATAGATGATTAGCCCCAACCAGGTTTAATCCTACTCCACCAGCAGCTAGGGATAGAAGCATAATCTGGGGTCCAAACTTATCCTTGTTAAAGCTTTCAACTATCTCTCCACGAGAACTGATAGCAACCTGGCCAGTAATTTCTGTGTATTTCAGGCCCTGCTCCTTGATGTGTACCTAAAATAAAAACATACAATCTTCTCTCAAAAAATCCTTTCCTCCTTATAAAAATCATGATACTGATGATACTAAGATGATACTAAGATGATACTAAGATGATACTAAGATGTTTAATTTCAGAATTAGAACAAGATGATACTAAGATGATACTAATGACACTAATAATACCAATGATACCAATCATACAAATGATACCAATGATACTAATGATACCAATGATATTAATGATACTGATGATACTAATATTACTGATTATAATAATGATACTGATGATACTAATGATTCTGATGATACTGTTAATATTAATGATATTTATGATACTGATAATACTAATGATACTAATGACACTAATGATAATAATGATACTGATTATTCTAATTATAATAATGATATTGATGATATTGATGATATTGATGATACCGATGATACCGATGATACCGATGATACTGACGATACTGATGATACGGATGATATTGATGATACTGATGATACTGTTGATACTGATGATACTGATAATACTAACAATACTGATGATACTGATGATACTAATGATATTAATGATATTAATGATATTAATGATACTAAAATAACTAAGGATACTAATAATACTAATGATACTGATGATACTGATGATACTGATGATACTGATGATACTGATGATACTGATGATACTAATGATACTAATAATACTAACTATACTGATGATACTAATAATACTAATGATACTAAGGATACTAAGGATACTGATGATACTAATTATATTAATGATACTAGGGACACTAAGAATACTAATGATACTGATGATACTATTATGATGTACCTTGACAATGTCGAGCATAGCAGTCCACTGAGAAATCACTACAGCCTTCTCTATAATCCCTTCTTCATCCGCTTTCATCTTTAACTTCTTGAGTTCTGTAACTACTGTATCTATTTTACTGCTAGCACAATCAGGACTGAACACTGGGTTAGACATCTCTAAGATCTTGGTCGTATCTTCTTCTCTGTCCTTTGTGAGATTCATGCACTCTAGCTGAGAGATAAGATCCAGGTCTTCTCCATTATCCTCTATACCCTCATGCTCTCTAGTTTCCTGGTCCAGCATACCCTTGATCAGGTTTGGATGGCAACAGATCTGTCTCATTCTCAGCAGAAGGGTCAGCAGATGATGAGCTTTCACACTTCCATCATCTGAACCTGAAGAGAATCGAGTTTAGTTAAGCCAAGCCGAGTCGAGTCGAGTCGAGTCGAGTCGTCAAGTCAATTCAAACTATTAGTGACGTCCTACACCCAAACGGCATATTTGAGAGGACTAAATCAAGGTTGAAATGTGATCTTACGATTCATAGACTTTATATATTTTGCTTTGACAAGAAAGAATTTCGTTTTGTTCTTTATTATTGATCTTTAATTATATTCTTAAAATAATTGCAAGGCCTTATTCATTTAATTTTTCATTTAAGTTACGTCAGAGATCCGACGTTACTGTCAGACCGCCATATTATTGTCTCCGGTATAAGTACATTACTTGTTATGTCCGGTGACAGGTCACTGTCCTGTTGGCTATTAATAAATTTGGGAACTTGAATGGTTAATATGCGCTAAAAGATTTAATTAATAGCAAGAAGTAGTTGGAACTACAGAGACTCACAGTGATACCCAGAAAACTCTGGAATAGGAAGACGACTTTTAGGCCCAAGTTAGGACTTTAAGTTTTAATAAATAGGAGACACAGCAATTGTGCAGTTTAAACAGATTCATTTAACTTGATACGTAATTCAATAAGTTAAAAGTAAAGCTAACTTGCTTTTTAACCCATTAAATACACTCAAATATTGCTATAATGCTGTCGTCCTATTCCACCGTTTTCTGGTTATCACTGTAGTAGAACCGTTTCTTTCAACTTAAACCGGCGCACTAGAGAAATGATTAAACTACTATTCTCTATTCATAAAACTAGGAAAGCATATATCAAAAATATGATACCAGAAAGAATAACCTTAAAATAACTAAAATATAGAGCTTTTCGAAGAAAAATTGATTGCTCTGGTCCAGGCCCTAATTCTAAGTTGTTTATTTGACATTATGTTCATTAAGCAAATATGGCATCTCGAGTCCAATCTAAATTGAATAATCTCAGTTGTTTCACCTTTAGATCCGAAGGGTTGGAAAGCAAACTCATCTACGCCTCCAACAGGCCTGTATTTAGCCCCACCTCCTCCTCCGCCTTAAACAACGAGAATTAGTTAGCTAGGTTAGAGCCACGCAAAGCTACATTGTGAAAATATATGTATAAAAAATCTCCTCTCATTGAACAATGTCAAATTCACTTAACCAAAGTTGGGGTAAAAATTGTAAAATTAAACATTTAAAGCTAGAAAACGACAATAATAAGATCTTCACCATTTTTCATAATTTGGGGAATAGAATGAAAAATTGGACGTGAAAGTTACAGCTTTGCTCATTCTTTTTTCGGTTTAACCTAAAACTTCAATGTCCCCCCCCCCCACCAAAAAAAATCAGTTATTTTCCCCGATTTAGCGAAAAATCCAAAAAAAAATGCAAACATAACTTATGGAAAAAAATAAATGATTTTTCGAGAAAATATACACCCCTTGAATCCTGATCTATTTACCTAATCCCATCTCCCTTCTCTCCTCCTCATCCCCTTTCTGATCCAGGAACTTAGCCATAGCTCCCTTAGCAAACTTCTCAACCTAAAACAAGTTTAATCAAGGGATTAATTAAATATTTCTGATCCAGGAACTTAGCCATAGCTCCCTTAGCAAACTTCTCAACCTAAAACAAGTTTAATCAAGGGATTAATTAAATATTTCTGATCCAGGAACTTAGCCATAGCTCCCTTAGCAAACTTCTCAACCTAAAACAAGTTTAATCAAGGGATTGTTTAAATATTTCTGATCCAGAAACTTAGCCATCAAATCAAATCAAATTATTCTTTTAGGGACGTCCTACACCCACACCCGAAAGTTGAAAAGACTATACTAAATCAATAATGAAGTGGGGTCTTACGATTTGTAATTTTTGCTAATTTCCACTTGGTTATTCAAAAAGAGTCTACAAGAAATTTTAAGATTTAAATCGACATCATTTATACTGATAACAATAATAAAAATGCGCGAAATTAACAATCTACAATAGTCAAGAGATTGTTTCGATATTTCTGATCCGGGAACTTAGCCATAGCTCCCTAAACAAACTTCTCAACCTAAAACAAGTTTAATCAAGGGATTGTTTAGATATTTCGGATCCAGGAACTTAGCCATGGCTCCCTTCAATTCAATTTCAATTCAAGCCATTGTTTATATATTTAGGAGTAAATTCTGTACATTGTTGAGCGTTTAGAATTACTGGAGATAAGAACAATTTCGTTAAGAGTTAGAATATGTTACAGGGTGGCCAACACTTTTTTGAACACATCCGTACAAAAATCCGTACATTTTCAGAAGAAATCCATACAATCCGTAAAATTTTCGAAAAACAATCCATACAATCCGTACAATTTTTTTTTAAAATCCGTACAATCCGTACATTTTTTTAAACCAATCCGTACATTTTTTTAAAAATCCGTAAATTTTTTTTAAAATCTGTACAATCAGTACAATTTTCGAAAAAAATCATTAAAATTCAATTTTTCATTCATTGTCTTTTGAATTCAGTTCATGTAAGAGGGTTTAAACTTCTTCAGCAAGAATCAATCTGTAAAAAATTGGCTTCATACATATATACAAACTAAATACTGGGTACATGATACTAGGTGCATGATACTGGATACTGGATACATGATACAGGGTACATGATACAGGATACAGGATAC